AACTCAATTAATATTCAAACACTCATTTATTTATAATAATACCATTAATCATACAATTAGATCTACATATTTAGCTTAAATTATTATATTATTATATATATAGAATACATATAAATTTATAAGAGATCATAATTTATTCTTTATAAAACAGTATAAAATATGTTAATTTTTAAACACATAATAAATAATCGAATTATTATTAATGAAAAGCATTTTATCTCTTGAAACTAGTCTATCAAATATCAATCATAATGTAAATTAACTTTTAGGAATATCATCTCAATATGATTTTCAAAGAGGTATCCTAATCAATGTACCAGTTGAATTACCAGAAGTAAAGAAAACTAATAATAAAAAATTGCCTTAATTAATGAAAAGACAATAGTAATTTTAGAAATTTTTTGTGCTTAATACTAAACGATAAATTAAGTCAAGTGAAAGAAGTAAAACAAAAAAATTGATTCCTCATTAACTTATTAAAGTAGAGCATCCTCCCATAGGCTACTATAATCTTAATGAAAGTTCTCTAGTATAAAGGTCTATGGTTGATATGAGTAAATCATCTACTGCTAGAATCCCTATAAGAAAATACAAAAGTAAAAGCATTGATTAAGAACTTCAAATCTCACCACCATAATTAATAGAATAACAAAAATAAATGTAAAAGCCTCGAATTACAGAATTATCTAATTGTAAATTATAAAAATGGATATAAAAAGAATTAGAATAATTAAAAGAAACTAAAAAATTATAATAAACAACTTATAAAGGATTTATGAAAAATGAAAAAGAGAAGAGTGATAATTTTCGGAGACTTTTTGAATTAACTTCTCTAAAATTATAAAATTCTTATTAAAAGTATTATTTCTGAAAAATAATATAATAATAATTAATTACCATTTTCATGTAAAAATTCTACTCAAAAAAGATTTTGAATCTCGATCCCATGCCTATTATACTATAGCATGTTCAGCTTCTGTAAATTATAAAACAGTTGCAATAACAGGTATAGTTTTTTATTTTACCTAATAATTAATGGATATAATTAATTACTGAATATTCCTCAGTAAAAAAACGTATGATTATATTCTTAATATATTAAATATTTGCATTCTTTTAATTCTCTTAACATAATAGATCAATTTTAATATTCTTTTCTCTCAATTCCTTAGTAATTTAATCAATAGTATTTTCTAATAATTAGATTTACTATCTACCATTTTCAAAATGTTAGATTTCTGTTTTAAAATATATAAAAAATACTTTGTTCTCTTTCCATTTTTCTTTCTTCTTCAATTTCAAGTAATCTTTATTTATGCTCTTTTGCTTATTATTCTATTAAATTATTTTATTCTTATTATTATTAGATCAATTCATAAATAGTTTAATTCAAAGTAATTAAATGTTATTTAAGAGAATGTAATTATGGACTACAAGACTTAATTTATATATTAATTTACTTTCAATAACTATAACAATAACAATTTAATTTTTGCTTCACAATCTATACTTTAATCAACTAAAGTTAAAGTAGTTTCTCTTATTTATTCTGATTAATTAATTAATTCATTAATATTTAGTATGATATCCTATTTATATTTGTCAAATTCGTTTTATAAATCATTATATAATGTAAGAATTTCTTATTTTTTCTTTTCACTTTAATAACATTCTTACTATAATATTTTCATTCTTTAATCATATTATTATGCCACAACAAGAATATCATCTTTAGATTTAGAATAATCTAATAATTTAATATCTTCATGTAATTATGAATTTAGTTGTTTATTAAATTCACTTTCTCTTACCCATTCAATTCCATTATTTTTAATACATATCCATACAATTTCTTCTACTTTTACTTTGGCTAAAACTCTTTCACACATAATCTTCTTTTCATCTCCTAAATATTTATTTACTATTTATTCTAGATTCTCATTCTTTTATTTTTCATCTTATAATTATTGATTTCTTTCAGCTAAATCTGCTCTTAATTTATCGATAGTTACTTTAGCTTTAATTATTAATTATTTTTGTTATTCAATTTTTTCTTCCATTAATAAATTATGTAATTAACAAATAAAATTGTTATTGGAGTAATTATTGCTTCATTTCTATAATGGTATAATTATTCCTTTTTCATTGGCTTTATAATTGGATGTTCTACAATAATTTGTATTGAATATAACTACATAATGGATTATCTAAAACAATAACATAAGAATTATGAGGTGAGCATTACAAGCTGTAAAATTTTAATATAAATTTAAAGTAAAATAACACGTGGATGAATATTTACATCCTATTAAATTGAAGAGAAAGCATTACATAAATAAGTTCAATTCAGAATTACAAATTGAAAACCCATAGCCTAAATAAGAAGATAAATAATCTATACAACAAATTTCTGTATAAAAATTATAGAGAAAAAAATACTTAAAATAATTAGATATTTATCTAGAGTTTTTTGAAGGAATCAAAGTAATAATCAAAATTAATGTAGGAATCTGAATAATAATTTGGTCAATAATTAAATGATTTAGATAGTAAATTAATTTCTGAAAATGAAATTACAATTATTGATAAATATACTGAAGAAGGAAACGATATTATATAATAATTAACAGGAATTTAATTGAATTCTAAATTGTTCTTATACTTACCATTTTGGAAAGACTATAAAAAAGTATTAAAATAAATTAGTCAATGTCATACTGAAGTTGCCTAAGATATGGGCAAAGTGAGTTTTCAATTATATTAGCTCAAAAAAGGATTCCTTAAAGATGTTGAAGAAATTAGAAAATAAAGAAAAAAATTAAAACATTTAACAGTTGAAATTTATTAACATTACTAAAAGATTCTAAATGAATTCATTTAAAATGAAAAAGATTTATAAATTTTTACATAAGCTCATTCAGAAATGCTTAAGAGAAAGGATGATCCTACTCAAATCATTAAAAGTGAAATGAAAGTTAAATTATAAATGCAATAATAAGATAATATAAGATTGAAATTAACAGATGCTAGAGATAGAATTAAAGAAAATTAAATAGAAATCAATGAATTTAATTAAAAAATGCAATAATTTTAACTTAATTATGAAGAATAAAGGGTTATATTTGTAAAATAAGGTTTCCAAGCATTCTTAATAACATCTGAAAATTATGCCAGTTAATTTTAAACTTATATCTCCACATTAATAGTAATTATTGATGAAGATTATTGTAATAATATTTCATTAATTTATTAGATTAAATATATCCTTCAAGATAACATAGGAGTCCACAATCACCTCAAAAATAATTCTTAGAAAATTAATAATAAGGTTAAATACTTGAACTTGATATAAATGAATAAATTAAAGAAATTTAAAGGTAAACCACATATTAACTCTAATAATGGTAAATAGTGTAAAAGTATAATGAAGAATTGGAATATTTTTTTAGAGATACAATTTAAATCTTAAATCAAAAGTCTGTTGATAAAGATTTTTCACTTGTAAAATAATAAGTAGAATAAGAAAAATAAGAAGTGTCTGATGTTTTTAATATTCTCTATACTAGTTTAATTAGTGTTATCTAAATAATTAAAGATTCAAATAAATAGCTAGTTGATTAAATTGAAAGAAAGAGATAGGATATAGCTAAATGTAGATTAGATATGTCAATTGGAAAGGAACTTGAAATTTGTGCATTAAGAGAATTAAAAAAATTGTAAAGTCTTAGTACTGATGAGAAAGCACTTGAATAATATTAAAATGATTAAGTTGATAAATCTAAAACAAAAAAAGCAGCTTAACATTTTCTTAATGAAATGAAATAAAATATTTAAGATGTAAAATCCTTAAATTTTGGTAAATTTTATGCAACAATTGGATAAACTGTATCAAAAGTATAAAAGATGAGTAATTTAAAAGAAGATGATCTTAGAGAATAGTAGATTAAATTAATGGAAGATAAAAAAGCATTAATATAATTATAAGGATTTACTTTAAAAAAAATGGAGGATTTTCTTAATAAACATAGTAAATTAGTAGCAAAAATGAAAAAAACATTAATTGAAGATTTAGGTAGATTTGCTATTTCAATATTCACTCATCTAAGAATGATAGTTGATGAAAGTAAGATATATAATTTATAATAGCAACTGAAAATATATAGATAATGTAATAAAGAGAAAATTTAGATAATTAAATTGAATAATAAGTTATTTAAAATGAAAAAGAGGATCCAACATATCAAAATGAAGAAATTGTAGAGGATCTACATGTGAGTACAACATCATTATTACTTTAAAAACTATTAAAAGTTTTAGTAAATGATTGGAAAGAAAGTGAATATTTTAAAGGGAAAATAAAAAAAATGTTACATAAAGCATTCAATAAGAAAAGAGTGAATATGCTATCAGAGATTACAGTAACTGATTTAAAGATTGCTGGAGATCCACCATCCTTATCTGAAATAAAAGCATTAAGATAAGATGTTAATGAAGTATGGTTTTTTAATATATCATAGTTTTTATGTGATTTGGATTTATCTTTTAGAGGGAAAATTTAAATAGTTTTAAATACAAATATCATTATAAATTGGCCTAAAGAATATTAAGTACCTGTTGAAATTAAAATTACTATCTCTACTTTTACAAGTAGAATTAGATTATGTTTTGTACCTACTTATCTTGGAAAGAGTTGGTATAATCATTTATAATATATAAATTAAGGCTTTCTATGATAGGATAACCTGTAATAAATTTAGATATTGAACCAACTTTCTTATAGAAATATAATATTGCCAAAATCTAATAAATTGCTGATTTAATTAGAGAGTTTTTAATAGGAAAAGTAAAGTTAATGACTTACCCCAATAAATTATCAATAAAAATACCTTTAAGTAAGAAATGAATACTGATATTATTTTTATAAATTATATAAATTCTAAAGAGATTCAAATGAAAAAGCATTATTTTTTTTATTTTTTTATTTCTAAAGCTTTATTTTTATGAAATCAAAAATTGTAAACAATTAAAGATATTAATCATGCTAAGAAGAAGAAGGAAATTCTACAAGAATACTTTAAAATTCTAATGATTCTATTAGAATACTTACAGATATTCAATTGTAAATTACACATACTTATATTAGACCCTAATAAATGTCAAAAAGCATTCAAGATGCATATGAAAAAGGAGAAATCGAAATGAAAAATAACATATTTGACAATATTATTAAAGAGAACATTATTGGTTTTTCCATTGATATTTATAATCATTATATCATCCAATGTATTTTAGAAAAAGGATTGAGTGAACATAAAAGCTATATTTTAAGACTCGTTATAGATAATATGGAATAATTATGTTATCGAAAATATGCCTATAAAGTAGTATAGGCATGTTTAATTCAATTCCAAAACAGTTAAATTATCTAATACATAATTGATAATTTAAAGAAACTATAATTCGATTAATATGGAAATCTTATAATTAGTACATTATTAGATACTATTCAAAATGATGTATAATTTGCTTAAATAATAAACAAATTATAAATTGATAAAATTAAGTATCATTAATATGGCTGTGTTATTTTGATTAGTATGATTACATGCCCTAAAGCTAATCATGTAGGTCCAATAATTAATAAACTTATATTAGAAAGTATACAATTATCTAAATCATAATTTTCAAATTATATTATTTAAAAGATGCTTAAAGAAAGAACAATAGAGTAAAATAAATAATTAATTAATGAATATTTGATTCCAAATTTTATTGAATTATCTTGTAATAAATTTGGAAGTAATGTTTGTGAAATTATGGTTACTAAATCACTTGCTTATTAACTTTAGAATTTATGGAATTTAGTTATTAAATAGTATATTTATTCATTATTTTAGAAATCTAAGATTATTATTAAATAATGAGTATGCAAATTATGTTATGTAAAGATATTATGCTCATATTATGATGTTTAATTACATTCTAGATGAGTTTTAATAATCATTATTTGAAATGAATAAAAAACAGTTATTAAACCAAAATGGTAAAATTGTTTATCGATTTGTCAATCAATGTAATCAAGTAGTCCAATAGTATCAATAATATTGAGACTTATGATACAAAAAAACATGATTATTATATAAAATTATATAATAATTATATAATATATAATATGAAAGATTTTACTAAATTTGTGCTTTGTGCTTTAGGTGGAACAATTGTTGGACTTCTATACAAATTAAATAAAGAAAGAATTAATAAAAATGAAATTGAATTAGAAATTCTTAGAAATTAAAAGAGTATTTCTGTGTAACAATTGAAGTAAATTATTTTAAAGTTTTAAGATAATCATTTTCGATAACAGATGATAACTAATTAAATTTATTTGTTGAAGGATAGATAGCATAAACTTCAGAGATATTAAAAAGTACAAATAGCAAACATGCAGGTGTATACATTAAGAGATCAAATTATGAATTAGAAATTGTAGAAAATAATGGAAATAAAACATAATAAAGAAGATAAATAAGTAAAACAATCAATACTACAGATTCATTTATTTTATGTTCATAACAAAATTCAAATGAAAAACTATTAATAAAAAATTTCTCTGAAACTAAAATTTTACCAAAAGTCTTAAAATATTAACAAACAGATCAATTATTAATTCCTCCTGAAGTTAGAACAATCATGAGAGAGCCTGAAACGTAAAGCATATAATATAATTAGAGATGAAGAAAGGGCATAATTTAAAGAGGGAAAATTAAAAAAGTTATTAACTACTATATCTAAAATTGGAGTAGTAATAGAAGAAGATATTCTTTGTGAAGGAACTTTCATTTGTGTTTATGGAAATGTGATTTGGGATAGAGTTTAAAATAGTTTTAGAATAACAGCACCTAAATTTTTTGGGATTAGTAAAGAACAAATTATTGGATATTTTGAAGCTGACTAATACTATTTAAAATTTATAGGGATTTTATTGGCTATTGGAGGAACAGTATTTATAATATCATAAATAGACTTTTTCAATATTTGCTTTAAAACATTTATACAAGACTTTGTTTAATAATTAAAATAAATAAGAAACTAAGTATTAAACAAAAACAATAAGTTGAATAATCATTATTATATCATGGTATTATATAATATCTTCTACTTATATTTTTTAATCTAAATTCATTATTATTATTCTAATTCCTCTTCTTCTTTGATTGATTACATTTCAGCTTTTTAATTAACTCTTTTTTATAATTTTATTCCTGATTTTAAATTTTTCCATTTAATTGCTAATAATTCTTTATTCCTAGCCAAGAGGTCATCCTCTTAAGCTTAAGATTAATAAATATTTTGTTTCCAAAAAGTTAATTTATTAGATAAATTTGTTAATTATTGGCTTACATTAATGCCTTAAGAAATCTAGATTATTAATTAAGAAAGTTATTCTAATAATAAATTACAAAAATGTAGATCTATTGAATTAGCAACTTCATGTCTCTGGTTTAAGATATTCCTAGGATAAAAATAAATCTTACTCTTAAATAGCAAAGGCTTCTTTCAGATTATTTACAAATAAAATTTCTTTTTTATTCAAATACTTATAAAGGTCTATAAGTTTCATTTAATAATATTGCTAAAATTTTACTATACAAAGTTATGATTGAAATTCATTTTAAATCTTATTTTAACATCTAGTTTAATCTATAATTTTTTTATATTTTAACCATTTTATGACTAATTATTGTCCATTCTTTTTTATGGATTCAGATTGTTTTTAGTAATTTTCCCAATTTTCTAAACATTAGTTATAAATTTGTTAAAGTTCATTTTAATTTTTTGAATTTATTATATCTAGATGGATTATTTATAAATCTAAATATTGATTTATAAATATGGATTTATCTTTTTTAATGTATTCGTTTTATCTAGTTTTTAGATCTTTCACTAAAATTAGTTTAAGTTTTTTATAAAATTAATATTTAGAGTCAAATTCTATTATTTTAGATATTTAATAGATTATTTCTGTTGTTAAAATAGGTAAATTAATTATGAAAAGTATAAGTAATATATGACCATAAAATTCATAATGTTCAGAATTGCAAGTATCAAGAAACAATCCTAAAATGTCTAAATACTCTACAATAATTTCACGATTTTAAATTTTAAATATTGGAGCTTATATTTTGTTACCTTATATTCCTTTTATAAATTCAATAAATATGCAAGGTATCCAAATTTATTAATTCTACTCTTCTAAAATTGAAATTAGAATTGTTAATCCTACTCTAATTAAGTGGTATAACCATTCATCTAAATATAATTGATTCTGAAAATCTGCACTAAATTCAGCAAAGCAACCAAATAGATCTTCAGTAATATTGTATTCTTAACATTCTAAAAATTCAATATATTTTACATAAGAATTTATCAACTTTGATTTCTTCATTTATTAAATACTAAAAATAGCTAAAGGTAATTCATTTATATAGTTTAATAAATTTATTGCTAAAACAATTTTACTATGACATATATTTTCTTTAGACTTTTAAAGAAGAGAAATACTTTCAATTCTCATCAATTCCTTAAAATAAGAAGGTAAATTTTAATTTCTTATATTTGTTTTAATTAATATCTTGAAAAAGTCTAATTAATGAATCTATTTAATTTAATTTAGAATTGAAGATTAATCTTAATCAATTTCCTTATTTCTATTAGGTTAATTGATAAAACTTTTAAATTATTTAATAGTTAATTGTTTAGGATTAAATATTAAGGATAAAACATTTTTTTATTTGATATCTAAATAATACAATTCTTAAAAGATAGGTAGTGTTTCTTCTAAATATACAGTTTGAGTGAATCTTATTAGTAAATCATTTTAGATCATATAATAGTGCTGCAATTGTTCTGAAGTTTTGTAAAATCGATCAGATAACATATCAATAAAAGATTTATGAATTGCTTTTAAAACTGTATGATAAGGAGTTAAAATGTATTCAAATCCAATATCAATAAATTTTAATTATTATTATATTTCTTAATTATTTTTTTATTTTTCTTTTGACACTTGATGTAAATGTGAAATTAAGTTAGAAGTCAAATAAATTAGAGCATATTAAGAATAGTGATCCATAATTTCTCCTTAAGGTATGGAGAACTAATATAGAAATCCATATGTATCAAATATATTTGAATTTTAACTAAAATTTTACATTTGATTTAAAAAGTAAATTTAAGTTTCAATAAATTAAGTTATATCTTAAATTAAATATTTCTCTAAAGAAGACATTTTTCTTAAAATTAAATGAGATAGAATTATTACTTCTATTTATTTCAATTATTAAGTATAGTTTAAATTTAAACCCTTGATTTAACTATTTATAGTAATATCTTTTAAGATTTAGGGATTTAATTATTAATTATTTTTGAAATAATTAATAGTATTTTAAAATAATGGATTAAAGTTGTAATTTTGTAATTAGAGTGCTTCTTAAACATTAATAAAGTATTAATATTTATTTTAATTAAATTTTTCCTATTCATTAAGTTTTCTATTTTCTTTAACTTTTTATATAATATTAATAATATCAGTATAACTATTAAATGATTTGCATAAATTTAATGCATGTTCATTATTTAATTAATAAATAACAGTCTTCCAATATCCTAAACCTATTAATTCTTTATAACATGTAATTCCAAAACTATTTGATGAATTAAATTTTTCATCAAATTTAAATTATAAGAATATAGGATTTATAGATTCCAATATATTATTAATAGCTACCTAAGAAACTGCTGCCTATTCTAATATTTATTTTCTATATAATTTATTAGCAATAATCTAATAGTTATTTCTCAAAGAACTTCTTGTTAATGGAGTATAGAGTGAAGCCAAAGAAACTAAATATCTACCTATATGCTAAGCTAATTTGAATTAGTTGCAAACATAAATGCATAATTTATAACTTTTAAATTATTCTAATAGATCTAATATTAAATAGATAGTATCAATATCTATACTATCTAAATCATATAAGAAGTTGATCATATAATCAAATTCTTTCTCTTCACCTGCTCTATTAGACAATAATGTAGATTTATGTTTTTATTTTTCTATATGATTCTTAAATTCAGTAGAAAAATATTAAAATTGTTAAATTAACTATTGTAAAATATTATTCTTGATGAAAATATTAGATCTAGATTTTAAGAGTGAAACATTTGAAGGTTAATTCAACAAGAGAACATTTGAAAATTGTGATTCAACACTTGAAGTAGCAATAGATTTAATTAATGATTTATTATTGTTTTTCAACCATTCATCTTCTGGGTCAAATATTGAAAGATGATCAAAGGATTCTTCAGTTTAAACACAAAAAGATTATGAATCATCTACCTCAATAATTTGTTATTATAAAATATTTGCTTAAGATGTTTCAATATTTTCTTGGACATATTCTACCTAAGATTATTTTGATTCATTTATTAATGAATTCTCAATTTAAAAACTTTGAGATTAATTATTCTGATCTTCTTAAATGAGATTTGTCTCTTCAATTATATTATGTTCTTCCATATCTTTTTCTTATTGCTCAATCTAATCAGTCATTTCTTAAAGAAAATTTGGAAAATACTTATTTAAGAAAGCTATTCTTTCATCTATTGTAAATTCTTTCTTATGCTAATTTAATAATTCAAATATTTTTTCCCATTTTTTACTATTTTTAAAACAATCAAGTGCTCTTCTAATATCATTTAGTTAATAAAATAAATCACCAGCCTCTTCAAATTAGCCTGCAAAATATGCAGATTCAGCAGTTTCACTTTTACAATCAGTTAATTTGTATAATTCATAAGCTTTAGAATATTCTTTACCTGAAAAATAACATTATGCTGCTCTTAAAGGTAAATTAATTTCCTCAAATAAATGTGCAGCTGTAACATAATTAGAATAATTCTCATTAAATATATTAGTTTAAGTAGCCATAAAATAAGCCTTAGATTTCTTTGCTAATTACTCATCACCAGAAAATCTAAAGCACTTTTCTGCCTAATCATAATTATTGAGTCTAAACATTTTGTAACCTTATTTTCTCCAATTAGCTTTATTATCTAATTAATGTTCAAGTATAAACTAAGTTTCAGAAATTTAAATATTCTTTTTCTAAACAATTTGAACAACATCTAATTTCTACCAAAGTTATTGCATTATGAATCTTTTTTGAATTGATTAATCAAATATTATTAATCTTCTCTTTGGTCTAGTTATAGCAACATACAATTATTTTAAGTCTTAACACAAAGATACATATTCTTAATTTGAATCTTATTTAGCTTTTTATTTTTTTTATTCTACCCATTCATTTTATTTGAGTTATTTTATTTCTATCAATTTATTTTAATTATTTAAATCTGCTGCTATTATATCAGTTTAATGAACTTTAAAATAAAAATATATAAAATACTTGTTTAGTAGTTTTTAAATTATTCTTCAGACATATAAACTGATTAAACTTCTAATTCATTCAAAGATCTCCATTCTTCTAAAGATGTAGTACAATCATTAAAAAAATTATATAAAATTACATCATCAAATTCTAAACCTTTAGCTTCATATATTGTAAGAACCAAAGCATTTTATAATTCTTAAGGTAATTTACCTTTAGATTCTTAATCCTTTACAATTATAGCTTAATTACATCCAAATTCAACAGCTTTTCTTTCATTTATAAAAAATTCTTAAATATATGATAATAAATCTTAAGAGTCTTCTGTTTATAAAATAATTGGCTTTGGTCCAGTTAAATCAGATGTTTCCTTTTTTAATCTATCAATTTTATATGGAAAACAAATTTCTAAAACTCTTATAACAGAATTGGCTAATTATAAAATTTAATTATGTGATCTAAAATTAATATTAAGATCAAACAATTTTAAATTTGATTTTCTTTTTCTTTGATTACCTCTATAACTTAATAAACAATTTTAAACTTCAAAAAATTTAAATCCTATTCCCTTAGCAATATTTTAAGCATTGTCACCACAACAAAATAATCCAAATTCTGCCATTCTATCTAAAAGTACTAGAACAGCTCTTGGTACATCTTAAAGTTCATCTAACATTAAATAATGAGCACATTCAATTACATCATTACCTTAACTTAATTCATAATTAATATGATTAACAATATCCAATAAATCATAATAATTATACATTTATTTTAATTTTTCATAGGCTTCAAATGCCTTATAAAGTATATGCGTTTATACTTATGATAAAACTCTATAATAATAAGAATAATTCTCTAAATTCATATATTTTTTAGGATATTCATGTGAAGTCTCATGACCTTTGATTTTTGTACAAATTTCACTCCATACTAAGGTAGGATCAAAAGTAGAGATATCTAAATTTTCTTATTTTAAATCTTTAATAATTTTTGGCCAAAATACTCTTTCAAAAACTTCTAGAGTTACTTCTTGCAAATTTGTTTCAATGAATTCTTAATTGTCAATTAAACTTATATGTTTATGAAGAAGTTCTTCATTAAATGTTTGAGAAGTTTAATTTTAATCTAATTTCATAAGACCTAATGATTCATTATGCCATTAAGATAACTTATTTTAATATCCTCCATGAACTTTAAAAAAAGAATTGAGAAGTGAAGAATCAATTAGTGCCAATAATTTTCTTAAAGTTAAGAAAACAGGAAATTGTTAAATTTCACTAAATTTATTAAATTTACCCATTTCTTTTTCAAATTCATTTATTTCTTCATCATCTATTTCATTTTCATTCTAAAATCCTTATTAATTATTATTATTTATATCTTCCTCATTTTATTATAATGCCTCAATTATTTAAAAAGTACTCTATTCTAAATCTATATTTTAAGATTAATCATAATAATCCTTTTTTTATTTTTATCTTTTTTTATTAATAGCATCTTAAATATTATTTACTAATTAATCATATAATCTTTTAACTTAACAAGCTAATAATGGACTTGCTGTAACAAATATAGTCTTTAATTATGTATTTTAATCTTATTAAGATAATTAAATATCAGAAGTTTAATTTTTTATTTAATTTAATTTGATTCTTAATTTATACAAAATATCTGTTGAAAATAATTTTAATAATGCACATGTAGTTTTGCCTGTTCCACTTCTACCAATTACTAAAGCATCTCCATTATATGAAATAATATCTTATTACTCTTAAGTTAGTTTCACTTTAAAATTTGGAATGTTCTTTATTATAGTTAATAATTATTATGAAGATGGTAAATTACAATATCTTTAGATTTTATAATTATTTGATCGTATTTCTTCATATTATTATAATTTTTTATAATATTTTTCTTCATCTTCTTATGTCATCCATAAATTTAATTTTTTGTTGTAGATAAATTTATTTTCTTAACAAATTAAGGGTTTAAATATTCGTGGTCCTACTAACAAATTAAAATTATCTGACATTTCACCAATCCTTAAGTATTTAACCTTTTTTTTATCAAAACTACATTCTTATATAAATTTCATATCACTAAAAAAATTTGGTGTGCTTTATTGAATTTTGAGATAATTTTCATATTCTAATTAATTTTTATAAAATTCTTTCTGATTAAAATCAACAAAAATCATCTCATGAACATAATCAAATTAAATTGGATGTTATGAACTATTCATAATAGGATATTTCTTAGGAAATATTTAAAATAAAATTGTAATTCGATTTTCAAGTTCAAAAATAATCTCATAATCATATTAAAATGGAAATTATATACTTCCCACTTAAAGATGAGATAATCTAATCCATATATTATTTTCTTAAATGAATCTTCCTTAAACTAAAGCTTTAATTAATGTAAATATTTTTATTAAATCATCTTCTTTTAGAGTTTGTAATTTTTATAGAAATTATTCTAATTTATTAAGATATTTTACATGTAAATGATAAATCCCAAATTCTTGATGGAAAGAAAGTACTAAGTGGGATTTATTGTAAATATTAGTTTAATTCATCTTCTTCAATTAATGTTAATCCCATAAAGCGATGTTCATTATGAACTTAGAAAATTTAAAAATATTTTGTAATAAGGAATTTGGCATTAAATTTTAAATCAAAATTTTCTAAAATACTTTTTAAAATCTCTGTAATTGCAGCAATAAGCTCTGCTTTTTCTTTTTTAAACTTAATCAATTAAGACTCTTTATCGTTGTTATTTACCTATTTTTTTTTCATTTATTCTTTAATAATAATATTTATTTAAATTAAATCTAAATAATAATAATTCTAAATTCTTTAATTTATTTAAATGAATAAAATTCAACATTAAAATTTAATATATATTTAATTACAAATATTATATATTAAAATTAAAACACACTTTTTTTTTCTAATTCTTTTTTAATTTATTTAGTTAAATATATAAATATATAATTAATTAATTAAATTATGAATGAGAGTAATATATAAAGTGTTTTAAACAAATTAAATTTTCATTTTATAAAAGAGAATAATTCTGCTGCCATTGATCCTTTAGAAAATTCTATATTGCTGAATAAAGCATTGCTTATTAATGGTTTTTCTTTTAATTTTTGTTTTCCAAGATAATTTATGATTTCAATAGCATAATTTTCATTGATTGGTTTAATAAAGCTAAAAAAGTCAATTAACTCATTTGAAATAGGATTTAATCCTCTATTTCTAAATATAATGTTTTCATCTCTTTATTCAATACTTGATTATATGATATTTTTAATTGAATCATATTTTTTACATATTCTTACAATTTCATCTTCTTATTCTTTTAAGATATTTGATTCTGGAATTTATGAATAGATAAGACTTTATACTTTGATATTGGAATTTCCTTATTCAATTTAATTATTTTCATCAAATACATGATTAGAAATATCTTGATAATTGATTGCAGCACTTCCTCCTTATTACGTACTTTCACTTATTAACATTATATTACTAAATTATTTTTCTTATTTCAACCATTTAATCATTTTATTTAAGATTTATTCAGAATTTTTAGATAAAAAGTCATCAAATTAAAAGTATTTTGAATTTAATTATTATTAAAAGGATTCTTGTTAAGATTTACTTTCTGAATTTTAATATTATTCAATAAGTTTTTTTTATTCAACTTAAGAAAGCAATTTAAAATTTTCTTAAATTTTTTCTTCACAAAATTCAAAGAAATGACAATCTAAATAATTTTCACAAATCCATAATGGTAATATAGATTTAAGAAATTTATTATCTTTTTCCCATTTTTCAAAAAATATCAATAAATCACCATGTGATTCAAAATATAAATTATTCATTAAATCTTTAGAATCTTATTGAATGAATTAAATAATATCTTTAAGTTAATCTGAAAATAAAAAGTCACTTCTTCCAATCCATTATAAATTAGCAACATCAATATTTATATCAATTATGGCATTAAAGAATTGATTAAATTATATTTATGATTAATTATTTGATCTTCTAGCTAATTTAAATTCATCTAGTATGAAATCAACATCTAATTATTAAACCATACATCCCCATAATTTAGCACCAATTATTTCAATTTTTAATTCTGGAGATAATTTATAGAATTTTTCATCAAAACTTTTATTTATTGGACTCAAATCATAATCTGGATCCTTAGAAAATTTAATTAAATGATTTTAAAAATGTTCCCAAATCAATACATAAATTTAACATTACACTAATTTATTATCTTTAAGTTCTTTAATTATTTAATTTGCTAAATTGCAATAACTTTTAAGTCCTTAAAATAATAATATTAATGAATTCTCATATTATCCACCATAATTAGATTTTAATTACTCAAAATTCATCAATCTAAAATTCCTAACAAAATCTGAATCTATTTTCTAAATATCAATTTATTTATTGTATTTTTTATCAATTAATGAACATTAAAAAACTGAACTTATATTGTTAAGTAAAATGTCTTCAAATTACGTTATTTATGGTGGAATAGACTTACTAAGAATTTTTATTACTTTCTTTCTATAAAATATTATATATTTAAGTTACCTGTTTTTTTCAAAGTGACATGGAAATTTTATGAAAATTTCTTTCAGTTAATTTAGTATTTTAACATCTACATACAATTCAATGTCTTCTATTAGAAATTTTAAGCAACTAAGTAATGATCTTTATCCACTGGATTAAGCTCCTCCCATTTATTTTATTAATGAAATTTTACATTCTAATTCAGAAGTCGATTTCTTAATTTATAGAATACTTAATTAAATATAGAATGAAATATATATATAATAATGTATAAAATATTACTTCCTTTACTATAATTCTTTTGTAATCAGTTTCTAATTGACATTATAATTAAAAGTAATTCAAATATGAATATTTTCTGACAATTATTATTAATCATTCTATTAAGAATAATTAAATTTAACTTGTCTTAATTTTAATATTTTTTTCCAAATATTGAATACTAATCTAAATAATCCAAAAATTTTATCTCTTATAAAATGAAGATCATATTAATTCTTTCTAATAATTTGAGTTTCAATTATTGACTAATATGTAAATAATTGGATTCTAAAATATTAAAAGAATTATTTAATCCATTTATTATAATTACTTATAATGTAAATTCTTCATTATATAAATAATTGAATATCTTTTTTAGAAAGTATGATTATAATATTGAAATTGAATAGAATATAAAATGGAATTCAAAAATATCAATTAAAGTATTTATTTTATTTTTTGGAGTAATTGATATTTTCGATATTTTTTTAAATGACTTTTTTTAATGATTCTTAAAATTAATTAATTCTTTCTTATTCTTCTGTCTATTTGACTTTGGCAAAACGAAATACGAAAATACTATTTCTTTCAGTATTTCTACTATTATTACTTTCATCCATATCTAACAAACTTGTAATTGCTGAATCATTCTGAACTTACCACATTTAATCTTATTTAGTGTAAAAAGATCTTCTATTCTTATATAAATTATTTAATAATATACCGAGTTATCAGATTTTACTGGAGAAAATAAGGCAGTCAACTCCATCAAAATTCTTGAACGTCTTTATATTTTTTCACTTGCTTCATGTTTTAAATTCTTTTTTTTATTCCCAGTTGATTTTTACTCTAAATAAAATTATTTTATATATTTCTTAGGAACAATGTCATCAAACGCTTCTAATTCTGTAACTAAAGATTTAATTTATGGAGGTTATTATTTTTCAAAATAATCAGCTAATTCATAATAAATTTCATTATGTCTTCTTAATTAGTATATTGGAGTATTATATTTTCTATTATCATCTCTAGTCAATGATCTCAATTTCATTATTAATTCTTATCTAGAAAGCTCAGTAAAGTTGCATCTTTCTTCTGTTTTTCTATGAGTTTCAGCTAGTCTATTATACAATTAATACAAATCTTCATTTGGTTGTTATCTCAAACCTAAATTAATATCTTTACTTATTTTTTCATATTCAAATTAATCTTATAATTTTATTTTACCATTTAATTACCATCCTTTATATTACTTTATTGGATCATAATTTTATTTGAATATCTTATAACCAGGTGGTCCAAATTCATTTTAAGTAGTATCCAATTTACAATGTTAAGCTTAACAATATTTAAGTGCTTTTTTCTTATCTAAACCAGCTCTTCTTAATTTTGCAAATACAGTAGCATTTTCTTAGTTTTCTTCAGTAAACTTACGTCTAGAAATAAATCTCTAACAATCTCTAAATAGACCACTTGTTAATTTGTTTGGTTTTTCAAATGGAGATGAACTAAATGCTGTTTCTCTCATTAATTATAATAATAATTTAAATATAATTAAGAAATAATCATGTATTTTAGAAATCTTTACCAAATAAAGTTCCATCAAATTTACAATTTATCCTACCAATAACTTTTGTGACTAATTTATCAAGTTTTTATTAAAATTATTAATTTTTTCTTTATTCTTCTCCTGGCTAAAACTTAGAATATCGATGGCTTAAAACACTATATCTCTTTTTTGCAGTTGCACTTCCTTCCTCATTAAATATTTACTCTTTTGATAAACCTATACTTGGAAGTTCTTAACGTTGTCTTTCATCATCAGCTTTTGGATTAAATTACTCTAACATCTTCATAGCTATCCAATAATACAATTTCAATCGAAGGATCATTTGGACTTCCGGCTTCTCTATAAGTCTCTATCAATTCATTTAATGCCTTTAATCTTGACTTTAATCCCTTTTCTTCATCTGTTCTTTTTAGACCTGGTCTCTAAACTCTGGGTTCTATTCTAAATTATTCTCTTATGTATTTTGGTATTATATCATCAAATGATTCTGTATCAGTTATTAATGTTCTAGACAATGGCTTTATTTACTCATAATAGTCTGCTAATTCAAAATAATGATCTCTTCCATTTCCCATTTGAAATTATGGAAGTTTTACTTATTTACTGGAATTGCTTAAGCCTAAGAAATAGTTTTTCAGCCTTTCAAATTTTTTCTATTCTTCTTAATTTCGATATTACATCAATCCATCATCTCCCTTAGCCTTTTAAAACTTTTCAGAACTTCTCTCTTTCAATTTTCCAACCATTTGCCAACCTCTGATTATTTTTTATTTATCAAGAGAAGTTTAAAATATTTTAAAATTTGGTGGTCCATGTCTACATTGTGAAGCATCAATTTTACAATGATCAGTCAAACAATATTTTAATGCCTTATCCCTGACTAATCCAAATCTTCTAAGTTTAGAATATATCATTGCATCTTCCTCATTCGGTTACGGTGATCTCTCTTTAGGCTAGAACCTTATACATTATCTAAACAATCCTATCTCTCTTGGAGAATTAGATTAATTATTAAATCTAGCATGTTTCATTTATCAAAATTTATAATCATTATCTATACTCAAATCTAATTTTTATATATGATATCAAATGAGCTCAAAATCTCTATATATATTCCTTATAAAAATACTAAAACTCTTTTAAATATTATGAAAATTAATTTATAACCTAATGAATTAATCCAAAATCCTAATTTAATTACTTATAAAGTTTTGGAAGTGGTTTTTTTAGAATTATTTATAAATATTAACATTTAATATTTTAAGGAAACAGAATAAACCAGATATATATTAAATGATTAAGTAATTTTATTGAAAATTTGCAAGGCTTATTATAGTCCAACAATTTTCTATAATAATATATTATGTCAATATTATATCAAATCTAATGGATAATATATATAATTTTATTTAATTGATAATGCAACTCTCTAGATATTTAATTTAATTATTTTAATCCTTTTTAACTTATTAATGAACTTTAAAATTGAAAAAACTTTCAAAGAAATTATTTTTGATTATGTCTTGATAAATATTTACAAAGTTGAATTTTATTTTTTTATTAATTTAGTTTTATTATCTATTTGATTTCTTTACTTATAATCTTCTGTATTTCATAAAAGTATATATTTATATTTAAATTATTTACTTACATACATAGTTTATTATGAAAGATAGTATTTTACTTTTTAAAATTTACTATAAAAATCCTTTCAATTACAAATTACCATACAAAAGAATTTTGATTTTATAACAAGAAATACTTTTCTTTATATTTGTATATTATCATACACCTATTAAGAACTATATCATTTATTTATTTTTATTATTTGAAATAGTTTTAATTTTAAATGAAAGATATTGATAATAATAACTTATTAGATTTAGAGAGAGAAGATTGAAATGAATATAAATTATATAATTTCGTTTGTTTAATTAAAAAAAAGAAGGTGCGAGGGTTTCCCCTCACTAGCAGAAATTGAGCGATAAAGCCTTTCCAAACGGAAAGTTTTGGAGCCTCACTGACGCCGGTTGTGCGATGGCCAGCTTAACCCCACACTGCTAATCTGCATGATCATCAGCAGTGCTCGCCAGGTAAGTGAATTAAGTAAAGTTAGAAATTTACTTAAATAGTTTTAATAAAAATGATATTTTATGGGTTTGATATAAATAAAAAATAAATTTAAGAAGAATGCTAAAATGGATTGTAATAATTAGGTTTTTAAATATGAAAACTTGAAAGTTAATTATTATTTTCCAGAACAACAATGTAAAATTCTTAGAGATTCTTCTAAATGAGATAGATGACTAAAGCAATGGACAGTTGTTTTGAAGATGAAATGTTTCAGATAAAACAATTAATTTCATAATTAAGATAATCAGAAGTTAACTTTTATGATCAAAGATTATAATATGATACTTAGATCTTATAAGAATGGGAAATTTATAAAGAGAGTTAAATAAAGAAGATAATACATGAAACAATGAATTCATCAAGTCCTGATTTTAAGATTTGTTTATGTGAATTTGCATAGAATAAACGATTATCAATTGAAATTTGGATTAAAGTAGCTTATGATGTATTTTATGATGAATTAGATGGTAATGAATTAAGAATGAAATTTTGGACATACTTTAAAAAAAAGTATTTTACTTTAAGAGATGAATTAATGACAAAAGAATGGCCAGATTAATGGAAATATGTAGAAGATGAACCATGTTTATGTTTGGATATAATTAAGGTGTATGAATAATATTTACCAATCAGAATGTTAATAGCTTAAAATTTGAATGAATTAGCTCCAAATTATTTATATGTTGATGTTAGACGAATGCCTAATCTAATAGAAGATAATGGTTTATATTTAGAATGTACAAGAAAAACATGGTTTCCTAATTTATAATTGTTATCATGTGATTAATTAGAAAAAGTTTATTACTCAAATACAGTATTTAGTCATCAAATATTAAGATTTGTTGTTATAATAAAAAAGATTGTTATGCCTATTTTATAATATTTCTAAGAAAGGGCAGAAGCTGGTAATGTAATTAATATTTATGGAGAATAACATGAATTTATGTTTGAAATACTTTAATCTTTAAAAGCATTAAGTGGATTGGCTATTAGAACTGCTGATGCTACTTTGAGAGTGTAAAAATCATTCAAATAAGGATCTGTAGATTCAAGAACTAAAGAGGATGTATGTAAAGTGATTATATCTACTTTATCATAACATGATGTAAATTAAGAGATTTTATAAGATATCTATGATAATTTATGTTAAGGTTATACAACATTTTATTCAGATGTTTATAAACATATTAAACCTTATCCTAAATTAATAATTATGGTAAGTGAAAGAAAATTATCATTTAAAATGTCAAGATCAGATGATATTTAATATCATTAAATTCCTGATTAAATGATTTCAGATTTATTAAAAACAATAGACTATCAATTTCTTGTTTATTATGTTAATTTATGTTTTAATAAAGTAATGACATTATAATAAAGATCTGGATAAAGAAAACCATTTTTTTAAATTATGATGTTGATGTGGTCATATGCAGTACCATTATTTTTTAAAAATGTTAAGCCTGAATTATCAGATGCCAAAATATTTGAATATATGGAAACTTATGAAAAATTGATTGAGTAAGAAAATATAACAATAGATTTATCAGATAATGAATTAAAATAGTAATTTAATGAAGATGATTAAGATTCTAAAGAATCTGAGAGTTAATAATCTGAAATTTAAGGAGATAATATGGAAATCACTAATCTTGGTAAAGTTGTAAAGAAAATAAGATTTTATTGATTGATGAAAATAATATTAATTAATATTTATATATATATTTAATGAAATCTATATCAAAATAAACAAGATCATTGATTCATAAATAATAAGAATTAGGATTAATAGATTCTAGGATTTCTTAATTAAAATAATAATTATAATTACAAGAATCAAATAATCATATTATTGAATTCAAAGTTAATAAAATTTTGGAAACTAAAAAGAACACATCTAAAGATTAATCCGATGTATTATCTGTACATTATAAATATAGTATAGTAGAAGATTAGAAAATCTAAATTAAGAATAACAAAACAGAAACAGTAAAATTAAGTTATTGAAACATCTTTAAGAAGAAGATTCCTTTAGAAGAAAACGAGATTTAGATGAAGAGAAAAGACTTGAATAGGAAGTAATGAAAGAACAATCAATGCTCTATTAATTGCAATACAAAAATAGTTAAAATGAAGAACTTTAAATTAAATAGTAGTAATTCTAAAAGGTTAATTTATATCATTATTATTACTATAGATTTAAGAATAGAAGTTTAGAATGAAATAGAAATTAGATTTAAGAAGAATTGAAAAAATTGAAAATGTTAGAAATTGTTAAATAAAAAAGAAAGCAGAACTTACAGTTAAATTCGATTTATAATAATAAGAGTATTAATTAAAAATTGAAGAAGAATAATAATTATTAAAGTATATATAATTTATTAGAATATATAGAAAATTATCATTCTCTTAATTAAGATTTTAAGCTCTTAAAGATGATCTTGATTTAGCATAAAAGATATCTATAAGAGATTATACAAATTCATCAACTAATTAAGGTTTTATTAAATAACCACTTGATTAATCTTAAATAAAAAAAGTTATTTTTACAAGTCCTTATGCTTAAATACCATCAATTTTAAATTAAAAGTAGCCTATTCTGTATAATATAGGGATGTAGATAAGTTAAACCTACTATCAAAATTATTGAAACCTTCTTTCAAAGTTCAATAATAAACGACTGAAAGGTTAAACAAAAAAAATAACTAAACTTATTACAATACACAAATTTCAGATAGAACTCATACAAAAGAAAATTCATCCAAATTCGATACAGAAACTAGTTAAACTTAAAAAAATAAATTTTAATCTATATAAAATTAAAATAATAAATTGGATGCTCAAACAAAAAGTTCAAGTAATTTTAATGAAAATTTGGATACTTAAAAACTATTGAAATCTGAAAATAAATCTCTTCCATAAGATAATTAAAATGAAGAATACGAAGAAGAGTATAAAGAAAATTAATAAGAAGATAATTATGAATAAGAGGAAAATTAAGATAATAATTAAGAAGATGAAAATTAACCTCTTTAATAAGATAGATAAAATGATTAAAATTAAGAATAATAATATATGGAAGAATTTTAAGATGATGAGCAATATCCAGCTGATGATGATGAAGAATAGTGATTCTAATCTATTTTATGTTTTGAAAATACGTACTGGATTAAGTACTGGCATTTATTTTAATGGGCTTATAATTATTATTACTTATTTACTTAATTCATATATAAATTAATTAAAAACTTAAATAAAATGGGATGTTCATTATAAAAACAAAAAAAATTCGAAACAATCAGCAAGCGTTACTCGACAACTGCAAATACTTGTAGTATCAAATTTTTTATATTGTTTAGTAACACCTGATTAAAAATAAAGTTTAGAAGTATATAATCCAACACTTGGAAAGATTGTCTAAGTTCCAATACTTGTACCTGCTTCTAAAAGCAATATTATGAAAAGAAGAAGTACATAAATTACTACAGGAATGTGAAAACACTAGATATAATGATTTTATATATTATTTTGTATTAGTTGTTTATTGAATTCATTCATTTTAATGCGCATCAACTCTTCTAACATTTATATCTATACTCATTAGATTAATAATAGTATGCTAAATTGCTTAACAAATTAGAAATTTCTAGTCTAGATTATTATATTGACACATATAACACTTAAATACGATAGTAACAGTCTTAATATGAAATACTATAATCCTAAGAATAGGAACTATTTACTTTATAGTTATAATGAAAATAGATTTATCGTCATTAGATATATGTTTAACTGAATGATATATTTATTTGAAAGGTAATCAAATATCTAATTCTCAAATGACCTTTCTTTTATAATTAGAAGTACATCATTTATTCATAATAATTTCTTTATATAAAGGATTATCTTTATACAAAAACCTTGAAAAATTTTAAACTGTTTTATAATCTATATGGTGTTTCAAGTTCATAATTATCTTAAGAATTTGAAAAGGAATAGAATTAATTTTATTTAGGCAAGATAAAAATGAAGATAAATTCACTAATTGATTTTTAAAAGAAATCGAATAAATTTTTGATAATTTATTATTTACTTTTTAATTAATAAAATTAAAATCAATTATTTGAACCTATTTTAAAATATATAAAACAACAGAATATATAAATATGTCTCTTCTATTTATTAGTATAGATAAAATCATTTAATATAAAATAATTTACTAAATATACTAAACTAGAATCATTTTATTAGTGACAATTTTTAATTTAAATGATTACATAATTCTTTAAGTTAAGATGCATCCAATTTTGTACATTTTTTAATAAAAAATTCAATCTATTTTAATAAATCTATTAAATTTGGATTTTATTCATGTTTTTTACAATAAAGTATTAAAAATTAAAGTATTTATTCATATATCTTTAATGAATTTGAATTTTCCTCTTATTCAAATACTAAGTATTGTTTTAAAAACTATTAAATACTTTTTAATTAAAAAAAACCTTAACAACTATCATATATTAATAATTCTTTAATAATCATCCAGATATATAATTTTGATATCTAATTATCTTATGTCAAAATATATTCAAATGATTTTCGTTATTCAAAAAATATAGTACCTAATGTATCTACAACTTTTACATTAGGATCATCATTCATACCAAATACTTATTTAGAATTACATTCTTATAATTCCTATTTTGCTAGGATTGGTATGCAATAATAAAAACATTAAAAAGCTTGAAAATGAACTTATGAATGATGAAAAAATTATGTTAATGATAATGCTATCTATCTTAATATTGTAACAATATTATTATTTAATGAAGGATTTATCCATTGTTTGAAAAATAGTATCAAAAATTGAAGATACTTTTGAGTAAACAAAATATCAGATTTTAAGTAATACTTATCATATATTTAATAAATTGTCTTTAAGACTTAATATATTATATCTAAGCCTTAATTATATCCATCAAATTTAGAGTAGATATGTAATATAGTCTATAAAGAATTACCTTAATCAACTTAAAGGTTGGATTCTTAAATTTTTTGAATGTTTCTATAGAGTATTGAAGCTATATGATCATAAATATTAAATTATTTAATATAGTTTTAACTTATTTCTGTAATCAAAACAGTAGATTAACTATTTTAACACATTAAATAATCTAAATATAAAACTTCTATAAATTAATCATCTTTTTCATCAATTCTTTGATAAATTAGATTGCTATATATTATTAATTAAGATTAAAATATTGTATTATATGGAGCATTTTAATTGAAAATAAGCATACTAAACTATTTTATCAAATTTTTAAAATAATATGAATCATGTTTTTAAGTAGAAGAAATATTATTAAGAATAAATAGTATAGATGATGTATATAGGATTTATGTGATTTAGATTTTGATAATTTATGAGTCATCAACTATTATAGTTTAAATTAATTTATTTAGTTATTTTTCTAATTTATTTTCTAAATATTTATTGATAATTTCATTTTCATTTAAACTATTAAGTAGACTTATTATTTCATTTAAAATACTCTATTCATTATTTAAAATTGGCATTAATTCAAGATTAAGTTTGTTGATATTATTTTTTATGGATATATTCAAATTTTAATTAAGTGTTGTAACCTATTAATCAACTGATACTACTATTTGATTCCATTTATATTATAATCCTTAGACTAAATATTTAATAATTTTTTCACTAATTTGAACATATTATAATTAATTTTATTATTTCTTCTAGAATTCAATAATTATATAAATCAACCATTTAATTTTTCTTATTATTGCTATAGTTTATGATGTGTCTACTTCATTTTGTAATGAATGAAATCGTTTTAATTCAAATTCTAAGTCCTCCTCTAATTCATTATAGATTCTTAATTATTACTAAGAGTTCATTTGAATTATAAGGTTTGTAAATTCTTGAATATTTTAACCTTCATTAAATCTAAAGTATAAATTAATTAATGATATCTAAGTAGAAATATAGAAATATTAACCACTATTTGAATATTAGAAAATCTTAAAAATCAATTAAGAATAACATTTATTGAGTTTAGGTGTAGGTAAATGAGTTATGAAGAGACAAAAATTCTGTAATTCTTCATTTACTTTTTATTATACTAAATAATTTTAATTTTCTTCATATTTTAATGATATAACATTAAAATTTAATTGTTAATATTAACTTTAAGTATTGCAAACTATATAGGATAGGATTTTTTCAAAAAGTAATAATCCATTTTCTTAGATTACTCCTCTACTATATTTCAATAGACAAGTCAAAGTTTTAATAAATAATTGAGGATATGCTATTTAGAGAGCTTTTGAATTATCTATTAGAAGTGAAATTAATTGAAAAATTTCAGGAATAAAAGTTTGATTAACTTTTGCTAATAAATTGATTAATGTGCTCAAGATAGAGATTGTACATTATAATTGATCAATGTATTATTGTTTTGGGATATTCTATAGAATTTTAAGCATTTGAGAAGTGTAATATTCATCATATTGCTCAATTTGTTTAGTTAATTTTTTAGTAATTTCAATTAGGATAGATGTATAGTGTTCTTGTTTTAATGGTAATTATGATTAAAGAGCAAGTAAAATCGATGAATAGGCAGAATCTAAATTAGAATCTTATTGTTTAATAATGAGGATTGACTGTAGCAAATTTTTGGCTATTTAGTATTAGTTGTCCATAATTTAATTGATAAATTTTATAATATAATCAAGAACTTAAATTGCAGGTTTAAAGATGGGTAAAATAATTCTAGAGTATTTGGATGGAAATCGAATTTATGTATGCACAAAATGCCATATACATTTATCAAATTATGAGAGTATAATATCGAAGGTAAGATTAAAAATATGATTCTAGAATTTTAGAGGTGGAACTGGTAAAGCATTCTTATTTGAATAAGGGTACTTTATTTAGATAATAAAGTATCAATTATCATGTTGGAATACCCGAAGATAAGGATCTGATGACTGGAAAACATACAGTGTAAGATCTAATTTGTAATGGTTGTAACTAAGTGATTGGATGGAAATATGTATAAATGATTAAATTAATTCATCACTTAGATCAAAGCATATCGAGAATCAGAGAAATACAAAGAGGGAAAGATAATAATAGAAAGACATTATATAAAAAGAATTAAATGGAACTGAATCTATCTATATATATATATATTTATATAATATATATATTATTATTAAATTTAAAGATCCATTTTAAGTATAAGTGAAAAAGAGATAAAATAATATAATAATAATCTGTTGATTAATTTATATATAATTAAAAATTACGTTAAAAGAAGATGTTTCAGAAGATGTTGAATCAATAAATGAAGAATTAAGTAGGGTCTCTAAATCAATAAAAGTAGGAAGATATGAATAGAAGAGTAGTAACAGAAATTGAAGATGTGGATTAAGAAATAAAAACAATGCAAGATGTCACAAATTTAAAAGCTCATTTGAAGATGAATTAAATTGTGAAATAATCATTTAGAAAAAATAAGGATGAAACTAATCCATCTATCTATATTAGTAAATTTGAGAATCAATTAAAATAAATACAACAATCTACAATAAAAAAATAGACACGTAAACCACTCTCCATTGAAAAAAACAGCACTAAATCAGTATTAATGCCAGCATCCACTGAAAGATATGATTATTCTAATTTTACATACATAAATCTAAAAGTTGTTGGAAGTGGATCATTTGGAGTTGTACATAAAGTAAACTAATTTTAAATAAAAGGCTAAAGTAAATGAGACAGGAGAAATTGTAGCAATTAAAAAAGTATTACAAGATCGTAGATACAAAAATAGAGAATTATAGATATTATAAGAATTAGATCATGTTAATGTACTTAAAATGAAACATGCATTCTATACTCCTGCTGAAAACAAAGATGAAAATTATCTTAATGTTGTAATGGAGTACTTTCCTGACACACTTTACTCATTTAATAAATCATATATTAAAGATTTTAAAAAGATGCCTGATATCTAAGTCAAATTATTTAGTTATTAATTATTAAGATCAATTGCGTAATTAAATTATATATATTCTTAGATATATATCATTATTGGGAATATGTCATAGAGATATTAAACCACATAATGTTTTAGTTAACTCTGAATCAAATAAATTATAATTATGTGATTTTGGGAGTGCAAAAAAATTAGTTAAAGGAGAACCTAATATAGCCTATATCTGTTCAAGATGTTATAGAGCTCCTGAATTGATATTTGGATCTATAGATTATGATACTCAAATTGATGTTTGGTCTGTAGGTTGTGTTATAGCTGAATTAATTAATGGAGAACCATTGTTTTTGGGAGATTCTGCAGTTGATTAAATGGTTGAAATTGTTAAAGTACTTGGAACTCCAACTAATGAATAAATATTAAGTATGAATAAGAATTATGATATACAATCTAATTAGTTTGCTAAAATAAAATAAAGAGATTGGAGAAAAGTATTAACTATTAATTTTATAAAGGTTTTAAAAACTAAAGATACTAAAGCAATTGATTTAGTCTCAAAATTACTTACTTATTGTCCAAAAACTAGACTTACTCCATTTAAATCATTAACTCATCCTTATTTTGATGAACTCAGAGATATAGATTAATTAAAAAGTTTACAAAGTTAAATGAAAATTGCAATCCCAGAATTATTTAATTTCTCTAATGGTATTTTTATTGATTATACTCTTTAGATGAGATATATAAAATGACATAATAAGAAAGAATGCAATTAATACCTGATTGGTATGGAATTTCATCAAAAATTGTTAAAACTGAATATTGAATAATAATGAATATTTTTAATTATTATGAACGAACCCATTTTTCATTTCTATGGTAATAAGGCAGGTGTAGAAGGAGCAGATTAAATTAAATAAGTTATAGATGATGCTACTAGAGGATCTGAATATTATAAAAGATAATAGGAGAAAAGATTATAAGTTCTTTAAAAAGTGAATAAGATGTAGATAGAATTGGAGAATTATAATAAAAATGAACAAAGAAAGAAAGATATTAAAGAGATTATTTAGAATAAAGTGAAAGAATTTTAAATTAACACGGATAGAATTTGGGCGCATTTTGATATGGATATGTTTTATGTAGCTTGTGAATTATTAGACAAACCAGAATTAATAGATAAACCAGTTGCTGTTGGCTAAAGTATTGTATCTACTGCAAATTATGTGGCAAGAAAATATGGTGTTAGATCTGCCATGCCAACCTTTGTTGCTAAAAAACTCTGTCCAGATATTATATTTATCCCTTGTCATTTTGAAAAATACAAAAGTGTTTCAAATGTATTTGAATGAAATTACTATAGATATTTATGACTATACTCAAAAAGTATGATGATAATTTAGAATCTATGGGATTAGATGAGGCTAATTTAGATCTTACATAATATATAAATAATTCCTAAGAAGATCCAGCAATATTATGTGAAAATATCAGAAAAGATATATTCTTAGCAACCTAACTCACTGCAAGTTGTGGAGTAGGTCCTAATAAAATGATTGCTAAACTTGCTTCTGAAATTAATAAACCTAATGGATTACATGTTGTTTAATAATCTCCCATAGCAGTTCTTAGTTTCTTAGAAAAATTACCTGTGAGAAAGATACCTGGAATTGGGAATATTACTGAATAAATTTTAAGTGGTTTAAATTTTAATACATGTAAGGATGTTAGAGACAGAGCTGATGAACTCTATATAATCTTTACTCCAAAAACATTTGAATATATATTTTACTCTTGTTGGGGAGTTTCAAGAAACTATCATGTAGAATTTGAAGATTAACATAGTATAAGTTGTCAAAGAACATTCTCTAGCATAAGTACATAAAAAGAATTTGAAGATAAAGTTGATTATATTGCAGAAAAACTTGCAGAAGAAATGTAATCAGAGGAAAAAGTAGGAAATCATCTAACTTTGATAATTAAAACATCTAAATTTGAAATAAGGAATAAATCATTGTAATTAAATTAATATACAAATCAATCTAAATAAATAGCATTATATGGCAAATAATTACTAAAGATTATGTAATTAGATGAACCAATAAGATTACTTGGATTAAAAATGAGTTCTTTAGCAAATGAAAAATAAATTTAAAAATAATCAATTTCTACTTATTTCAAAAAGCAATTTGACAAATCTAATGATTAAGAAAATTAGATTGCATCCAATATGGGTTCAAAATCTCATAATATATATGAAGATAGTAATCCTATCTTAAAAGTTCAACTCTAGTAACCAGAACAATCTAAGCCTGAAATAATAAGCGATGATGAAGTTAGTAGCATTAGCAATTAGATAATATCAGGAGTAAATAGTAAGAGTAATTAATCACAAGCCCAATAATAAAAATTCTAATAAAAATAATAAGCATAGCCTAAGTCTTTTAATTGTCCTATTTGTAATAAGGATATTGATTGTAAAGGAAATAATACAGTATTGAATAAGCATATAGACAGATGCATAAATTAATAAAATGTAATAGCAGAATAATCTGATGAGTCAAATAAGAATGTAAAAGATTCAAAAAAAAAGGTTTCATCTAAAATTGAAAATAAGGCCTAAAAGAGTCTTAATTTTTTTAAGAAAGGACCATGATTAATAATTTTTTCTAAATTCAAATGTTAATCTTATAATTATATAAAATTATATTTTTTTTTTAAATTTGATTAGATTGTTGTTTTTAGAGAATATTTTAGAATTTAATAAAAGTAGATTAAAAACTAATAAAAAATATCTGTTTCATTTTGGATATCTTTAACAAAAAGTTTATATAGAAAATAAAATTTATATTATTTGATTATTTAAGTTAAACTAATTAATCAATAATCTTATTGATTTGGAGTAGTTCTGGGAATCTTTGGTCTATATAAAAATCCTTTATCTGATTATTATGGAGGAGTTCTGGGAATGTTTGGTCTAGATACAAATTCTTTATCTGATTATTATTATGGAGGAGTTCTAGGAATGTTTGGTCTAGATACAAATTCTTTATCTGATTATTATTATGGAGGAGTTCTAGGAATGTTTGGTCTAGATACAAATTCTTTATCTGATTATTATTATGGAGGAGTTCTAGGAATGTTTGGTCTAGATACAAATTCTTTATCTGATTATTATTATGGAGGAGTTCTAGGAATGTTTGGTCTAGATACAAATTCTTTATCTGATTATTATTATGGAGGAGTTCTAGGAATGTTTGGTCTAGATACAAATTCTTTATCTGATTATTATTATGGAGGAGTTCTAGGAATGTTTGGTCTAGATACAAATTCTTTATCTGATTATTATTATGGAGGAGTTCTAGGAATGTTTGGTCTAGATACAAATTCTTTATCTGATTATTATTATGGAGGAGTTCTAGGAATGTTTGGTCTAGATACAAATTCTTTATCTGATTATTATTATGGAGGAGTTCTAGGAATGTTTGGTCTAGATACAAATTCTTTATCTGATTATTATTATGGAGGAGTTCTAGGAATGTTTGGTCTAGATACAAATTCTTTATCTGATTATTATTATGGAGGAGTTCTAGGAATGTTTGGTCTAGATACAAATTCTTTATCTGATTATTATTATGGAGGAGTTCTAGGAATGTTTGGTCTAGATACAAATTCTTTATCTGATTATTATTATGGAGGAGTTCTAGGAATGTTTGGTCTAGATACAAATTCTTTATCTGATTATTATGGATTTCCATTAGCAATTTATTTTTTGATATTAACCAATGATAGTTGACTGTCAACTATGAATGGTCCTTCTATTTATAATATATATATATACATCGAAGAGGCTTTTTCTCTAAATAAGAGTCTGTTAATTATTCATATTAAATGCTTCTTTATAATAATTATTTTTGTATGATTGATTCAATCAATTATCTTTATTGTTCTGCTTATTCACCATCTAAAGCAAATTCATTCTTTAATAGTTCTTCTCCTATTATTATATCATTATTTTATAAATCATCTTCATCATCATCATCATCATCAACTAGCTATTCTTCACCATCTTACAAATCATCCACATCATTATCTTATTCTAATTATTATTGTTAATAATCATCATCATTAGTTTTTAATAATTCTATCATAGATTGAATTTATTTCTTAAATCTATCATCACTAATTTTTAATATTTTAGGTAATTCTTGATGTATATTTAATTAATAAGCATATTTTCTTAAGTCTCTTCTACTAAACATTGAATAAAATGTTCCATTAATGAAGGTTCTAATCTAATCATTAGGATATTCAATTAATTAAAATAAGACTTCAAATGCTAATTCTTTATTAATTGATAAAGAATCTCTCCCTCTTGGACTCAATGATAAATTCATAATTAAAGCAGTGATATATTCATAAGTATATTCACTTAATTGAAATTTTTCCTATTCTTAAAAAATAAATTAATACTCTTTTTAGAATGTTTAAAGCAACTTAAATAATGTCATTGTCAAGCATCCAACTTTGACTTTATTTTCTTAGTGACAATTTTTATAAAGTTCCAATGGCATTCTTTCTCTTGATTGAATCAGTTTAATCATTTTTTATTGATTCAATTAAAAACTTAATTAAATTTTTATTGCTAGTCAAGTAAGTTCTACCAACATAATCAGAAGCCAAAGCATTCATTAATTTCAAAACCTAGCATTAAATTATATATGCAGATTTCATCATCAAATATTAAGCCAATCCAATGTTTCTTTAATGTGCTCCAATTAAATCATGTGTTTAATATGCGATAATTACTGACCTTCTTTCTAATGCACTTTTTGCCCTTGTTATTCTCCATCTCAAAGCCTATAGTACTGTTGCAACTAAAACTGGATTACTATTTTTGGTAAATAATTTAATAAGCTTTTCATAATTTAATGGAACATACTCTTCTATTGATTATTATGATGTTATCATTTCTATTCTTTAAATAAAAAAATACATTATTAATTAGTTAAATCAGACAGATCATGATCAGGTTAAGTGAACTTATCTTGATAGGTTATATCCTATAATTTATTAATTTTTTCATCTAAATTCTCACCTAAGAATAGATCATATTATCCAATCTTCTTTTTGAATAATTAGAGTTATTCAGGATTTTTCCTATTACTTTCAATATATTTAATCATATCTTTCTCCATTTTTAACAAATCTCTTGTGAATTAAAACCATTTTTTCTAAACCTCAAATAGATTTAATTATCCTGTATTATTTATATATTATAATTCCTAAATTAATTAATTAATTTTTTTTCTTAATTCATTATTTTCTTATTACAATAATCTTATGTTTTCTGTCATCTTTTTCTGAAAATCTTATTATTAAATATTAGAGGATCCTTCCTTAGATAATAATAATCTTTTTAAAATACTTCCATTTTATTCTTAACCATAAACGGATTATAAAAACTCTTTTAGTTTTAATCTCAAGTTAGAAATCCATTCATGAGTGAAAATATATTAAAAGTTTGGATGCATTTCAGGATTTTTTACATATGGCAATGCATAAAATGGCATTACTTCATTACTCTTTGATAAATCATTTCCATTAGTATCAATATATTGTTTAAATTGATTAATTGAATTATTATCAATCACACCTTTCTTCTTAAACATTGGATGAATAGGGTAAATAAGAAAATAAATTTAAACATGAAACTCTAGCTTCCAATATTCATTATCTTGTCTTTATTGTATTGGTATGTATCGACTCCATAATTCCAGAAACTTATCTTTTTCTCCTCTATCAAAGTGACCTAAGAGAATATATTGTGTTTAATTTAATTTTTCTAATGCAAATTATGATTCTACTTTAAAATACTCCAATGTTTTTAAATAATTACTTCTCAAAAGGTAATCTTACACTATAGAATTTAATTGTTCTATCAATGTTCCATTTGAATCAACTTATTTATAATCCTAAATATTATTCTTTTAGTTAGATTCAATTGCAGAATAAATTCTTTTTTATGGGATGTCATTTTTATGAATCAATCCAAAATCAACTTTAGCTCTGACTTCAGATTAAGGTTTGTTATTGTTATTATTCATAATAATAGATGATATTATTAAATTTATGTTTTTATTTATTTTTTTAACCTTAGCTTATGCATAAATTGAGTGTCATAAAGATGATTTAGTAACTACATGTTCAATGAATTCATTCCAAGCATATATGATAACCTATGAAAAAAAGACTTCTGATACAATGTTCCTATTCATAGGTGCAAAACCTGGTTAAAGGTATATTGTTCATATTATTTAGTTCTCTTTTCTTCGATCAATTAGGTGTAGGACCAAATTCAACTTATGAAAAGTGGACTGATCTAGGTCATTTAATGTTTCTGGATCTTTAAGGATCTGGTTACACAATAACCACTAAAACTCCAAAATCAATTGCTGAATATACATAATAGTGTGCAAGTGCCTTTAATACTTTTAAAGATTAATTAGACTATAAATTCACTCGTTTATATATTGTAACAAGTGGAATTGCTTCAAAAGTGGCATTAGAACTAGCTTTATAGTTATAAGCATATGGAACGATTTTGTTTTCTCCATTATTAAATCTTTTAGAGAATATGCGACAGTTGCCATCAACAGCTTATCATATGGGATTAATTGATTTCTAAGAGAGACAATCTTTAGAACTTTAAGTAATGAGTTTGAGTCAACCAAAATATAGCGATTATTAAATTTTAGTTAACAAAGTTTCAAAGATGAGTGGAGATATGCTTGTATCAGATTTCAGAAAATATGAATTGTATTAATAATTCTTTATATTTTATTTAGAGATAACTCAACAATCATTTTGACTGACATAATGAACACTCAAGTAGTAAAAGATAAATATCATGCAAAATAACAATTTTTTAAGACATTTAATATTGATATCTTTAATAATATGACTGATTCCTTATCTTAAAATATTGATTTAGAAAAATATTTAAAATGTAAGAGTAAATTAATAAAATTTAGAAACTAAAATAATATGTTTGATTCCATAATTTTCATTAACTACAAATATATAAGGAACCTTAAGTTATCTAATGTAATATAAACATTTTAATGAACAACCCTTTTTACAAAATGTAAATGATAATTAATATGCAATTTATGTAAATATTGGCACTATTTACATAATTTATAATAGTGGTGATAAAATATATCAGGATCAATAAGATATAGTAAAAAAAATAATAAGAAATTTATGATTTATTAATATATTAAGATCCAACCTCCAAATTAATATAAAAACACTGAATTTCTTAAAGTAAAAATGAATTAATAATAAAATTTAAAGTCTATTTTTTTTAATTCAATAGAATTAGTAAAGAAAAGATTATTGCACTAATATTATCTTGATAACAAGATTATAATTTTAGTATAGAATTGTATTAATAGTCTAAAGTATTAAAGATGATAAAGTTTAAGTGAATGTTACAAACTTTTCTAAACTAATCAATATTTGAAAGTATTAATTTTTTTTTTTGTTTTTTTTTATATAATCTTTTCCATAGAAATGTAAATCATTTCTCCTAATCTTTTAAAGCCTCTAAAACATCCGATCTACAATTTGGACATTTCGTGCTACTCTGTAGCCAAGAATCAACACAAGATTTATGATATATATGTTTACAAGGTAGCTACATTATTAGTTCATCTATTTAAATAAAAAAGCAATACCTTTTTAGAATTAATTACAACATATACTACATTGTCTGTTTGACTTGCCCATCATCATAATCTTTAATTTTTGTAAATATTTCTTTGGAACTCCATTACACTTTTAAAACAATTTATCTACACTATTTTGCCACAACTAAAGTTACATCGACTAAGTTTACTATATTTGGTATTTCATACCTATATTTCCTATCTATATTAATTAGCAACTAAAAATTAAAAAAAGCTTTATTACCTTCTTCCCATATTCTCAATTAAACTCCATCTATTTCATATTATTATTATTATTATCCCTCTAAAATTAATTGTTTTTAATACCACTTCTCTCTTCTAGTACTTATATCATTATTAAATTCGTTGTTCTTTTAATTTATTTGTTTTTTTTTCTGTTGTTATATTTATTAATCAATAATAAAATGAACATCATTTAATTGTATAATAAATTTTAATAAACATCTTATAGTCTAATTATATCAATATCATATCCTCAAATGCTTTTGGTTGTTATTTAGGCAATATTTTAATTTACCCTCCAATACTAATTAAGTTAAATTTATTGATTATTAATTTTTTTATTTTTTCTTAACATTATTTTAAAAAAAATAAAAAATATCATTTTCAAATAAAAATTTATTAAAAAATATAGAGAGACTATTCATTAATTTTCTACTTTATGATAACTAAATATTATTACAACTTTGTAATTTAATATACAAGTACTTGCTATTAAAGTTTAACTACAGAATCTATCAAAATTTATTAAATTATTATAATAAATTATACATAGTGATAAATAGAGAAAATTATATTTATATTATTATTATAAAAATGGAAGAAGCCTAATCAAACCAAAATTATATAGCTCTTGATATAAGTGCTTAAAAATAAAAAGGATCTCAACAAGTATTAAAAAATTAGAATTAAACAAAAAAAGTGGTAATTTTTAACATTATCTAAGAAAAAAACACCTCTCAGAAATGATAATTTTGACAATTTAGATGTAAGGGCAGAGTTTATATTGAAGATTTACATCTCTCTGGCAATAATATAAATAATAATTTTGTTGCTGGTACTTCTAGAAAAATGTACAAATATTCAGCATATGCTAGATTTGAATTTTTCAATTCCTTTTGATTAGTTGTTGATTTATATTATCTTTTTTTTTTCTTTTTTAGTTCACATTGTTATAATTTGTGGAGGTCCAATTACTAGAAAAGTATGATATTAATTTTAATATTTAGATACCTTGGAATTTCATTTAAGTAGGACTTCATCTTATTTTATTTGGATTCTTTTTAATAAATCTATACGTTTATTTTTTGTAAAATTTATGGTAAGGATACTTGTGGTAGTTTATTGGATCCACATAAATTTTTATTTTAAGTTTGGCTTTTTATTCATTTAAGACTAAGAATAATATTTCATATAAAGGTATTAATGTATTCTAAATATTTTAAGTTGGCTCAATTTTACTTTGTATTCCAACATTTATTGTTATGTTAATTTTGATAGGAGTATATACAAAGCATGCTCCTTATATATTTTTATGCGCAGTGTTAATTATTTGTTTAGGGTTCTATTTGATTTTTTATACAAACTTACTTATTGAGGATTGGGTATAGAAAATAAATAAATTTTAGAAACTTAAATTATCTATTCATGATTATATCTTAGCATCAACGTTACTGAATGCAGCATTTCTGATGTTTATAATTTCTTTAATAGATTGGATTAAAGCAATATTGAATGGAAAGTGAGTTTATATATTTATATGAATAGAGCTTGTAAAAAAATTATGAAAAAATACAGAAAACATCAACTAAAGAATATGATAAAAAAATAAAGAAAATGAATTTAATTATATTCTTCATAATATAAATATATATAATATTAAATGATAATAAGTCTTAATATGATTTATATTGGTTTGATTAGTTTGTATTATAATTAGTTTGGAATTATTAAATTTTTCATTGTTTTATAGGGGACATTTAAATCTTTTTATTTAAAATAAAAAGGACATTGTCTTAAGTAAGAAAATAAAATATATTTTATTAGAATAATTATGGATCAAACAACACAAGATTTACAAGAAAATTGGATAGAGGTAAATAAATATAGTATTTTGTAAGCAAGTCGAAACATTTGAAGAATTAACATTGAGCAAAGATTTATTAAGAGGCATCTTCTCTTATGGTTTCGAAAGACCATCAGCCATCTAACAAAAAGCCATCAAACCAATAATTCTAGGAAAAGATGTATTAGCACAAGCATAATCAGGTATGTTTTTATCATTTAAAATTTTACATAGGAACTGGAAAAACTGGTACATTCACTATTGGTGCATTACAGAGAATCGACCCAAATCAAAGAAAGACATAAGTCATCATTCTAGCTCCAGTTAGAGAATTGGCTAAACAAATTTATGATGTTGTTAAAGGAATTGGTCAATATTTGAACATTGAAGCCTTCTGTTGCATTGGTGGTACCTCAACCTAGGAGACCAGAGAAAAATGCAAATAAGGAGTGCACATCATAATTGCTACACCAGGTAGATTGATTGATATGATGAAAAATAAATATTTGGATGCTACATTTATGAAATTGCTTGTTGTAGATGAAGCTGATTAAATGTTAGACTAAGGTTTTAGTGATAACTTTGCAGAAATCCTAAAAATGGTACCAGGAGATATTTAAATTGGTATTTATGATTTTTAAAGTTATATTAGCATTATTTAGTGCTACTTTCCCATAAGAAATTATTGAATTAAGTAAATAGTTTTTGAGAGAAGGAACAGCTAAGATTTTGGTTAAAAAAGAATAATTGACATTAGAAGGTATTAGATAATTCTACATTGCAATCCAACAAGAAGATCAAAAATTCAAAGTTTTAGTTGAATTGTATAAAAATTTAACAGTTTCTTAATCAATATTATTTTGCAATTCCAAAAAAACCGTTGATGATTTGTATGATAAATTGACTACTGAAGGTTTTACTGTAAGTAAAATACATAGTCAAATGGAATAAAAAGAAAGAGAATAAGTAAATTAAATGTATATAAATTAGGTTATGCAAGAATTCAAAAAAGGAGCTGCAAGAATACTTGTTTCAACAGATCTTATGGGTAGAGGAATTGATGTACAATAATTATCATTAGTCATCAATTATGAATTCCCAAGATTAAAGGAACAATATATCCATAGGTAATAATATTGAAATCTATTATTTTAGAGTTGGAAGAGCTGGTAGATATGGTAGAAAGGGAGTTGCCATTAATATGGTAGCACAATAAGAAGCTAATCTCTTGTTAGAAGTTGAAAAATATTACAACACTAAAATTGATGAAATGCCCAAAGACTTAGCAGAAGTAGAAAAAGAATTAAGTTGAAATATGGGTATTTGTTATAAAAGAGTATAAATGTCAATTTAATTTAATATGTTGTATCTTGGTTAGATCTTTCTTTTATTATAATAAATATATTTTGATTTTTAAAATATTTAAATTAATTGTTAGATGATGATATTAAATATATCTAATTTTTAATATATAATTATACTCATTCAAAAGAAATTATGAATTATTACAATAATAAAGATTTAATCTTATAAGATGTTACATGAACTAGTTTAACTAATTGTTTAAAATAAAAAAGAGGAAATATATGGTTCTAACAATATTAGATTTCTGTCAGAAAAAGACGTTGACTAGACTTCTAATAATAAATAACTCATGACATAAGAATAGAATTAAGATTATAATGACGGCTATCTTGTAATTATACTAATAATTTGTCTCTTTTTGCTCATATGTGTTTGTGGAACAATCATAGAAG